AAACATATTAGTGATTTTAAAATTAAAACAAATTGCTGAATCAATGCAGCACTGATAAACAGTTCCATGATTTCTTGACAAAGTTTAGGTCTGTCGGTAAATTGTATCATATCAATTATTGACTTTATTTATAAGTGTCTACTAAAATATAGGGATAATTATCACTTTCGAAAAATAATACTGAGTTATCAGTTGGATGACAAAGATATCTATAAATTAAAGGAATGAAGCAATCCGTCAATATAATCAGGTAGGTACTGTGAGTTCTGGCAGCAAATATTATTCGGGCTAAAATGAATAAATTTAGTTCAAAGTACTTAATGTTAGTAAGTAGTATATGGTAAAATAAAGAATGAAGTTTGGAGATGACTACGTCACCAAATAGATCACTGCACTTAGTAAGTAATGCCATTAGATATTCAAAATCTTATACGCTTGATCTAAATAAACTTATTTTGTTCATACATGGGTACTAACATCAAAATAGGATCCGCTTAGAGACTAATGAATGTACCCAGCCACACTATTCATAATAGGTATATTGAAAACAGCTATAACAAAATAGCATACACTAGATAAAATGATATCATTAAAGTTATTCATAAACCAAACAAACTATTATCTTTACCTTTAAATGCACCTCTTGATAACATTTTTCAGTACAACTTTCCTTGTGCCCAAAAATACGCCTCACCAGTTAACTATTAATCGAATTCACTTTACTGAATTATGTATAACGAGAAGAGACTCAGTAGATAAGTGGATAACGTGATTGCGTTTAACGCGAACGGTACTGGGTTCGAGTCCCGGAGTGAACGTCAACTCGGATGCAGTCGCATCGAGTGTACGAGTCCCAAATAGGACGAAACGCGTATCCTGGATTCCTATGCTTAACCAGTCGGTCGGAAGGACCTCGTCCAGCATAACGTCACCTCGGCCCCCCAAATATTCTAGTACGGCCGAGGGTGGAGAAAGTCAGCTCCACGTGGTCCCTAAGAAAATCACCTGCTTCGGTTTGGTCACCCGGGCAGTATCACAGCCTAAACACCAATCAAGAGACTTGTGTGGCGCACACATATTCGGTGCCCCTTGGTACCAATATTTATGTGTTTAAATAAGTCCATCTGTGCTTAAAATGCTTGTGAATTAAGACAATACTCAAAGTATCCATATGTGCCAATGACAGACTGATCAATAGTGGTCCCAAACATCAATGGAAAGATCCAAGTAAACAATACAAAGTCAGTTTGAAGAGAACACTGTTGAACAAGTGATACCATCTGTGAAGTTACTGTACGTCAGCTTAACCCATAAACAAAGCATAGGCTTCTTTTCTGGAATCATTAATGTCTAGACAGTATTTACTTATAACAAATCTCCTTACCTCTTTCATAGTTTCTGGAACTTGATTTGTAACTATTATTATTATTACATTCTTATCATTTTATTACAAACTACTTTCCGTTGTTTTCCCGTCCTTTCTTCTTTCTGAAATAGCATACTAATTTTTTTGTTTCCTACTTAATTCTGCATTGTTATGCTTATTTATCAGAGGGAAATTTCTAAACCCAAAATAGACATGAAGTGTGGTTTGCATGCCACTTAACACATTTTTAACAAATCTGTATCTGTAGATGCCTAGTAAGTTTCGTTTATTACAAATTAATTACTAAAATAACTGATCCCTACTTTTTGTTGTATCTAAACATATGAAGTATGTACTGGCATTATTTATCAGATGTTAGAATTCATCTTTCAACTTCATCCTGTTTTATAACGTATTACTTAATTTTAACATGTATGCTGAGTATATCCAAGCATTTTTTCCAATGACGTAAGGATAAAATCTATTGTTGACTCGTATATTCCATCTGACTACCCTCCTACACTGACGTATTTTCATATTCTTTTACTGACCACTTTTCTCAGTCATATCATTGCTTTTCTCATCGTGTAACCAATCCTCCAAAACTTTATTCATCTTCAATTATTATTTGTGTAATTATTTACATAAATAGGTCGTTCGTCGTTTTAATTGGTAATACTTTGCATAATTTTAGTCTCATCCTATTTCCGAGGTTCCAGCTTATTTATTAACTGTTCTCCTGATAGTGCGATCGACTTCTAAATACCTGATATTCAAAAGTAATAGGTTCGTGATCCCCATTTCGAACTTTAAGAAAAATTTATTGTACTTTTAACATCATTTTTTGCTTTCCATATTTGTATTTGTAGTTCAAGAGTTGGGTTACAATCCTTGTATTGATTAAATCATGACAGGATTGCTAAAAAAGCTCGACTTTGCTTTGATTCATAAAATATGTTAAAGTTTTTATCCACTCCCTAATAGACAACTTGAAAACCCTACTTAGTATATTATTTCTAAATAAACATCAATCGACTGTTTATCCTCTGAATTTTACATTAGACACGTAGACTATCTATTGGGTACATGTCCTAAGAATCTCATCTATGGTTTGGACTTCCTGCTTGAATATCTTATGAACTACTTAAGATTAGATACTACTCTTGTGTTGTGAAAATGACCATCTGTTTCAATGTTTAATAAAATTACAGTATCGAGTGGGTTGGCGCTAAATATATATATCTTTAACTACGGATTTCACGTCAACCATCTAAAACTATCAACATATGTCTCATACGAACACGACACTGTAGCGAATGACAAAATGACGGAAAATGTAATTAAAATAACAGTTGAAACTTAAAATGAAATACCCACTGAAAATTATGCTCATATATGTAGAATGAACTCTCAAGATGAATAGATGTGCTACAAATTCACGGACATGCATCTTATCCCCTCTTATGTACTTCATGAATTAAAAATAGTATATCATGTTAATTAATTGTAATGAATATCAATAGTAAATAAGAAAACAATGTGGTTTATTTTCAAATGTTTCTTGTCCTTTACATCCTTCATAGGATCAGTTAGTGAATAAATTGAATGAAAAGTTAGTTGTTACAATATTCTGATCTATTATTTATTCTCATTTTCTATTTGTTTGACGATACAACAGAAGCTTTTTTAGTTTTGAAATAACAATGTTTGGCTTTTTTACTTCAGGCTTCAATAATGGGAAAAGTCATGTTAATAATTGATTCTTCAATCTACAAATACACATTTAAGGTTTTGCTTACAATTTTAGATGGTTGTGTAAAACCAAAGATAACGAAATATTTAAGGAACTTGTGTGAAGCAGTGTAACTAATCGAAAATTTTAAAATAGACTTAATTCTCAAAAAGCATTATTACTGTGAGTGATTTTTAACAGACTTCATGTTCCCGTTTTGAGTCTAGTGGGACATAACCAACTATAACTCTAGTACATGCTTAAACAGAGTGCATTCAATTTCCAACTCCCCGACACTCGTTGGGACAAATAATGAAATTCAAAAAATAAGTTCAAGTCTAGTGCACTCAACTTTGAGCCAAACATATAATGAAAGGCAAGGATACAACCCACCGGTCCACATCAGATGGGTTTAACGAGATCCACACTACCACACAAACAGTTGGAATTCGAATCCTAAAACTCTCCTTATAATCGTCCTATAAATATTTTAATTGCCTGTTTAGAAATAAGCTTAGAACTTAGTTACCTATTATCCAAGTAAATGATTTGAAGTGCAGTCTTTGAATATGATGTTAAATATTAGAGACCAACTCATTTATATATCATAGAAAACTACTTCCTTTACACTTTTAGTAGTGATTTCATGTTCATTATTCAAATATATATATATATATATATACACGCAAGAATCTAGTAAGATGTGATAAATATGTTATTCATTTGGCTATTTAAAACAGTACAATACGGTACAGTACAGTATAACCGTCTACAAGCAAAACAATAACTACGTATTATAATCAAAACTCCGTAGAAATTCTAGCCGACGGGTGCTATTAGTACACTTGATTACGCGTTTAATGTTCTTAATATAAGTAAAATCTAGAGTGTATGGATAAAAGGATAATTACATCATAACCTAAATGCAAATTAGTTTTACTAATGCACAAAACAAAACAAAACAAACAAGTTAGTAAATTGAATTGAACAATAATAATAGTAATAATAATGTTAAATAAAGCACGCTTGTATAAATATATAAAAATGAATCTTCTCCGTACTAAAAAAAAGAATGTACAAAATAGTTCTATTTAGGAAATGTGAGTAGCATTTATTAGCCAGTAAAATTTACAGAAATTAACAACAAGAATATATGTATGGACAAGGGGGTCAAGGTAGGAGAAATTTATAAAACACTATCTATGTATTTTAATGTTATTTGAAATGCAAATGTTGTGAAAACTTCCCAATAAAACTAAACAATAATATCGTAGTGAAATATTAGAAAATCTATGATCACTCACAATAAGCATTCCTTTTGCTTTTTTCCTCACATATGAACGAATTTAGTGATTAATGTAAATGGAATGTTGACACAATTTGAATCAGAGATATTAAATCAAACATATAAAAAACATATACAATTTCTATTATAACAGAAATGCTATGTATACAATTGAAGTTGTTAATTAACACCAGAATCATTTGTTGCATCAGTGGTACATGCTTTTGTACATGAGCAACTAAAATCGGTCGTTATGGAGATGTGAAGAAAGGATATTAATACTTTGACTGTGAAATGTTTCACGGATTTGAGAGGATTATAATATACTGTACATATGCAAAAACATTATATATATATATATATATATATATATATATATATATATATATATATATATATATAATTTCATACAAGTAAGCAGAATCCTGAGCAAATAAATTTTCAGAGAAAAAACATAACAGAAAATAGAAAGGCCATTGAAGGAAAATAATGAATGAAATTTCATCTGAATTCTTCCGCAAAACAAATCGGAAGGCACCTATTGATGAATAAATGTACAAGTTTTGATATAAACTAGCATTAAGTAGCTGTAAAAAGCTCCATATACATATCATACATCAATGAGCTAAAAAGGCATCGATATCTATGCCTTGACTATAACTAGATAATAAAACAGGACCATAATTACGCATAGATGACCGGTTATTAGAGATATACTTGGTACTACCTAAATGACTTAACCGAGAACCGTATACGGTATCTTCGATAAGAGAATCATCTCTAACCTCTTTCGTTTCACAGCGATAATCAGATAAGTTAGAAGATAGCGTTCTCTTTTTGGGAACGGTATTCGTTTGATCCACTACTAAGGGAGGTTCTGATTGGCTTGATTGACTGAATAATGAAGCAGCGGCGGAAGCTATCTCTCCTTCATCAAAGCCAGTTACAGTAGTATTGGGAGTGGGAGGTTGGGGAAGAGAAATTCCATTAGATCGAAATGAACTATTGACCGAAGTGGAGGAATTCATGGACGATTCATTTGCCATATCCTCCGTTAACGCTGCGGCGGCAACCCAGTCCTCGTCAACTGTGAACTGTGAATGGCTGAACTGAGAACTTGCACCAGCTATCGATGAGCATGAACCGTTGAAGCGATCAGAAACATCGTCTCGTTGTCGAGCAGAATCAGAAGATAAGCGTTCAGTGTATGAAGGAGATGAGTAAGGAGGAGAGCCAAGTGGTGAAACACCAGACAAAGGATTGCGAGCCCACCAGCGTCGTCGCAGCCTCCAAGGACTGGTGGGGGCACGTGATCGATCGTTTTCATGATGCTCAGAGTCAGAAGCATTATTATGAATAGAGTCATCTTCAAAAACAATATTGTCAGTATTTACGGTAGTTGGCTGTAAACCCAAAAATCTTTTTCGCTGGAATGACTGACGGACTAATGAACTACTAGAGTGTTGTTCTAGTGTATTACTGTTTACTCCATTTTCCGATTTGACCGGTTGTCTAATACGGTATGTGGGTGAGAACGGAACATTATAAGAAAGGGGATCTGAAGGTGTGACGATATCGAGGCAGTAACCAGGGGTCACATTGCGCTGTACAGACCGGTTTAAAAAATTAATTGGACGAGGATGTTCTGCGGGTATTGGGAACACAGTCCTATCGTCTATAGGAAATGTAGACAGTGTATGACTGTTTACTGGAGAGTATGTAGACCCTGTAGTCAAACGCCGCTTTTTCCCTCGATGTGAATGCCTTTCAGCACAATTTTTCACTAACATATATAGCTCGCCAGCTGAAAAACCAAGTAGAGTCTTTAAATCACAAATGAATTTGTAAACGAAACGTTTTCCATGAACCTAAAGGGTAAAACAAAAATTAGGGTGGTTAAGTACAAATATAGCAGAAATATGATTCACATCGTTGCAATAACAGACAGAAGCCAGACTCTAAAACGTGTTTATACAGTTACTTTGTTATCAGTACACAAAATTTTCAATGATATTGTAGTATCGTCAATAGATGAACGCCCGAAACCGCTTGAACATAAAGTGATTCAAAGTTTCCAATATTTAGACATATCGTCCAAATAAATGTCTATTGTTTCAATATAATCAAGATTGCGATGTAGGATACAAAGTGTACAGAATATGTATTTCTTTCTATACAAAACTGACAACTACTTTATTTCTACATAAAACAAATGAAGAATATTACATCCAAAGAGCATAGAGGTTTATTCATGTAAAGGGCCAGTTGATGTACGTAAATTTTAATGGACAATTTGGTTGTCGACTAGTTGTAACGAACCACGAATACATCATAGGAAGACCGAGAGATATGAATGCTACGTTTGTATTATTACTCCAGGATCATACAAAACCATAGCACTGATTCAGCTATCCATTTACTTTTAGCACTCCTAAATTTCTCTAGTACACATAATTACGGGATTTTTTTAAATTGTCGATCATTTTGATGTATCAAATGTAATATGAGAGAAAATCTGATTACAATACAGAAAAATCCAAGAAAAAATGATAACACTTGATGCACTACTAGTTTAAGTCACTAAAACTAGTCGTCACTTCCAAATTACGCAAAACGTTCCAAGTGGAAAGTCCTAATATCTACAAAGGCAAACAAAATACGACTTACGGCCCATCGAATTAAATACAAAAACAAGAAGTTTCAAAATTATGATAAAAACGTAATTCATAAGAACCCAATTAACCAATTGAAGTAAAAATATGAAGACAAATGGCAACTAAATATGCGTCTTCGTGAACTGATAGTTTAAACATTTAATCATGTTTTATTTACTACAGCTTGGGAGATAGATTTATATAATAATTGAACAGTCAGTTAAAACTAAGAACACACATTAAAAAACATTATTTTATCTGGGGATCAAGATAAATTTCAGGCATAAAAGTTTAAATCACTTGAAAAAGCGTTACTATTTTAATCGATACCTTTGAAATCATATCACCATCATAATAATATCGTAATGCTCGAGATAACTTCTCGTAATTCATAGCAGGTTTGTTTTTTCGATGACCCCACATTGCAGCTACTTGTTCAGGATTACTTAATTTAAATTCACCATCATCGCTAATCCAGTGTATAGCTTCACGGTATCTCCAATCTGTAAGTAGTTCAAGTAAAAACTGCCACAGTTGAACTTGACCAGCTGCAGATGATTGAGAATTAGAAATTCCTTGTTGAAGAGTGTTACCATTTTGAGCTAATAAAAATGCACCCTGTAAAGTTAAAAAAAGAAACTATTTGATTAATGATATTCATGGAATATAACTGAATTTTGAAACATTAAACAGAGTGGAATTCATGAGTGTCATATCAACAACTATGATGAACTCGTCTAAAAATGATATCCTGTGTCTTCGCAGTAGCCTTAATAAAACTTGTAACACAAGCGCCGTAAAGTTTAAGTTTAGACTAACCGTAAAAGGAATATAGAGTTTACAAAATTTAAAAATTACTTTGACCTCTCCTACAATACTGGACAATCACTTATCGCATTCGACCTTATTAGCCCTATTTTTCATGTACAAAGACAAAGAAATATGGTGATCACAGTTGATATTATATTCATTATACTAAACCATCGTTTGATGGCTAGAAGTAAAGTCACTGCCTAAAAATCATAGCTAAACTATCGAAAGTGTAAATTTAAAGGAACTCTTTAATTTATTTAGGAATTACTATATATAGTTATGATGTTCAATTAAGATCTGCTACTTAACAAACGCTAGTATATTTTTAAATGAAAGTTTCTTGATAAGTGGAACTGGACTAATAGATTGATAATTAGTCTGTTATTGAACTTTTCATTTGCTATTTGCTGAAAAACAAAGATATATACACGTTCATGTGCAGTTTAAAGACTAACAGTGTTTCACAAAAGTTGTAAGGAAAGATTGCTTGACCAGCATCTTCGACCATTATGATGTTAGTGGCTGTCATATACTATTTGAATGTAATTGCTTTCTAATCAATACGTAAAATACATCTATTTATTTTTGCTAATATATGATAAAAATAACAAGTCATGGGTTTTGAATAACAAGATTGAGATAATTACCCAAAAGTCCACAAAAATAAGGACATTAAAAAACTTACATGAATTAACTGACCACCACCTGAAGACGACTCGCATACCCCGTTATTTATGTAGTTGGATGAGTTCTGATTAGCAGTCGTTTCGTTCATTAATGTAACTGTACTGGATGTTGGAACGTGACTATTTGAATCATTACATGACAAAAACACTGGTTTTGAACACATCATTCGTGGGTTAGAATTATTCATATCGTAGGAATTTAAGGCTCCCGAGTACGACGGCGCAAATACAATACCTTTGTGATCAACAAACAATTAAATGAACTGATACAGAAAAGTAAGTATCGAATAAACCATACTTTTGACATAAACCCAAAATTTTAATACCAATAAATGAGCTATATATTAGAAGCTTGAAAACTTGATGAAAATGTGATAATGGTGATCAACTTTCCACAAACAGGGTGATGAGGAAAATAGCTAACTATAAACCAACTCACTTACCAGGTACTTGTATTAGCCACTTTAAGTGCGAGGGATAATGATACTACCCGGTTGTCAGAACCGAAGTAGGTGGAATGGAGTACAACCTTTGGACTTAGTTGCTGAGATTTGAACGTTTTAACTACTAAGCCACTGCTAGATACACATTACTGCTGTTCTGTGTAATTACAAATAAAGATTTAAAATTTCGAGTAAATGCTATGTAGCAGCTAAGCTAGTCTAGATGACACCATACATTGTGAGGCTGATAGACTAAAATCCAACGTAATGAAGTCACGTATTTATAATAATTGATATAAATACTCTTATTTTTAGAAAAGCAACCATGAGGTTTAAGCTTGACTGAAAACATCTTGTCATAACACACCTCATTAGTTTGAAAGTTTACAGAATCCCTTTACCTTCAGTCAGAATACTCTTTGATCTAATTTGGATCCTTCCTTACATAAAGTCTCCATGAAATGAAAGCAACGATAATGGGTATGTCTTATTCCTACGAATTTCACTAGGTCAGAATAACAAAAGTTGAGTACAAATCGAATCATTATGTAAAATATCAACTACGCAATCTGAAGGATGTCACAACTTAGTCTGAAACTTTATACAACGATCCTGGATGTTTTCTGATCAGAACACATGAACGAAATGCTGTGAAATCATGTTAACTTATATATTATGGCGTTAAGTTCGAAAAAGTATTAACCAAACTTTGTAGAAAAATAACTGCAGAAATCATTGGCAAGAACTAAAATTAGTTACATAATCTAGATCTCGAATTTCATTCAAATATAACTTCATAATATTGATTACTGATTAACGGAGCCCTACTGCAATTAATAGTTATAGATTATTTAGAATTGTCAGTTAGCTACGCCGTAGGACCAGGCACATATATGCATTGGTTCAAGTTACCATACCCCATTAGCACAGCAAGATGAACACCGGATTCATAGAAGTAGTTAATTCAATGGTGGTAATATATAAAAGAAAGATTGAATACAAGGATATAGTACAGGCAGAAAGAATTAGTTGGTGGCAAGAAAGATATGAAGCGATTTTAATCTCATAGTCTAAAGTAAGACAAAGAGTGCATACACCGATGCCATTATGATCGATTCTAAACCATGTCATCAAGTCTCCAACCATTGGTTACAATAGTAACGCGGACCCCAACCAACTTCAATATTCCATTCAGGCTTTCTGGGAATGGTGGGTAGTTGTAGAGTAGCTGAAGGCCAGCTAAACTGCTCCTTAAAGTGTTGCGCCCATCGTTCTAAACGTCTGGGTTGAGAGCAGATAAGAATGTCGTCTTTTTCTGAGATCGCTTACACTTCACTTCTTAATTCCAATTTCTTTAATTAGTCTGAAAAGTTGTCTGGTGTTACCTACAGCCGCCGCCTTTTCTATCTCTTCTGTTTTCGTTGCCTACCACTGCTTACGGTCGTTCCTCAGACTTTTGGTTGATCTAGATCTGACTTGTTTTCGCTTTTCATCGTGTTCAGAGCCTGATGCGGTAAGTTTACGAGAATCTATCAGTGCAATAGACTTAGTAGAAATCCACTGAATTTTCGTGATTCTTTGGTCAAAATCACTAATAGATGTCGTTGCTGTTTCCACAGCTGCTTGTATATCTTCCCAAACAACATCTGGGTCAGCCTCATTTTCAGAACTACCTAAGTGTGACCTCAGATGTTCCTGGAATCTACTTTTGGCTTTCTCGTCATTGAGTTCAACTCTAATGAGTCTTCTTAATGAGACTTTTGCGTCCAGTGAGGTGCGTATTAACGCATGACCGAAGTCTAAACATGTACTCCGGAATGAGCGACAGTCTTCTATAGAGCCTCTCCAACGATGACTGATGGCAATATGGTCTATTTGAGTTTATCGTTAGTTTGGTGCAGGTGGTCGCCATGTTAGACGATGTCTCTCCTTATGCTTAAAGTTTGTGTTTGCTAAAAATAAACGATTGTCTGAGCACAGTTGCAGCAGACGATCACCATTATCTGTTCTCTGAGCCGGGATAATGTAATACCCACCAAAATGTCTTTCTGTTTGGTTTGAGCTAACTACTTGGGCATTAAAGTCACCTGCTACGAGTACTATGTCTGAGCGTTTAGCTTTCTGATGAAGTTCAGAAAGCTTTCTGTGAAAGTCATTTTTCACTTCATCCGGGCTGCAGTCAGTGAGAGCGTGGGCAGAAACGACGAAAAGGCAACAACGCGTGTCCCTACCCTTCCGAGTTTTACGGAGCCGTTTGACCGAACAGCACATAGATGACTGTTAACGGGGATCCACTCTAATAGTGCTTGTTCTTCTCTCGTACTTAATGCTGTGACTACACTTGCCATTTCATGAGAACTAGCCATTGGGTTGCCAGATACACGGAGGGTATATCGCGTCAGCTTTCCGTTTTGAGGAGGTGAGGTTTAGTGAATGAGCACACTACGATCTTGTATGAGTGTTTCGGAGACAGCATACATCAATGGTACGAGATTCTACGGTTTTAGCCAAGGAGGCTTGCTGGTCGATGTGGCATAGGGTGTGTACGTTGAAGGCTCCAATGTGTAGTTTGGAGCGACGTTTCAGTAGACCCGGGCAGTGTTTCGAGCACTAGAATCGTTGACTATGGTGACACTTGAGGAGGAAGTCAAAAGAGGAATTTTAGAGTTGAAAATCGATGTAAGAGGAATGATAGAAAGTGAAGACGGAGGTTGATTATGAATACACTGGTCTTGAGTGCTGTTAGAGGTATGAGGGCGGTTATCACTTCCCGGTTGCCCACACCGTGGAAGGGTTGTTCTGGAGGTACCTGAAAAGGAAATTGGATTAGAGGTGGTCTTAGTGACCTGGGAGCGTGACTGCAGTGCCCAAGGGACAACTGCTTGAGGTCGGTCACACACGATCTCTTTATGGGTAATTTTTGTGTTAGCTCCGTACTTGTTGAGACCTTACCGCCGGAGACAGATATCCGTGGGATAAGGCGAGGTGTGCATTTTTAGGGTCGACCTTTTCTAACCCCACCCCTCCTTGTGGGAAGGCAGCATCGTTGTCACGCTGGTTGTCTGAGGGAAACACCTTACTTCTGTCACACCTCTGTACAGTCAGCAGTACGACTTCGCCTTCGGACCTTGGGTTTGTTGCTTTTAGTCTTACCGCTCTTCAACCGACCTGTCTGACATGGTAGGACATTGAGGAACGATTGTTCCAGCCAGTATAGCTCGGTTGGTTTATTACGATAGGCAAGCCCGACCGCCACGTCAAGGTAGTAACAAATATTTGCAGCACGTTTCCATTTATGACTCTCATTGGTAATATTAAGCTGTATTTCTTGTTATTTTTTAAAATAAAGGGTAAAAGAGATAACTCAAAAATACTGGAAGTGGTTGTGAGACTAAAGTGGACGTCCAGCATGCTTTTAATAGTCTGCTGTTAGTTGGGTCTTTCGTAAAGTTTAATAGGGCCATAGTTCTAACGACGAAACAATCTGTGAGATCTGTGAAGGCTCACTCCTGTTGCATTCTTTCTCCAGTAATTTAGGATATCATTCCAGCATTCCAGAAATGTACTTTCGATGAACTATTTCGATTTATTCATTTAATCACAACACAAAAAATTGTCCAAAACGCTACCAGGGAAATGAGAATTTGCGATGTAGATATATGAGTACAATATTATGCCACTAGACTAATTCAAACTATGTATGAATAAGCCAGTCATTTTCACTAATATCCCTTCTAATATTCTATATTACCATGATGAACGGGATATTATTAGATGGTGACAGAACCATTTACCAAGACGCGATTATTTCATATTACTAAAGTGGAAAAACTCATAAAGAATGCAATAGGATATTGAAACAAGTTCCATAATGTGAATACTTACTTCCACCAAAACTCCTACTAGAATTCGTTTCCGTCAAATTTCTAGAGCTACGAAAGCGGGATCGTGACATTTGTCTGTACAATTTTTGGGATTGGGTTGCGCTCTGTTGTGGGGGTTGTGGACAATAAGGAACACCTAAAACAAAGAGGTGTATGTCACTATGAAATCCGTGTTACACATCATAAGAAATACGAAACTAACTTATCTCTATAACATAAATAAGAATAAAAAATAACAGTATAAGTTTAACAATAAACATTTTGAAATATTTATAACTAGATACATTAACGCAAAATGTGTCGATCACTTCACTTGGAAGTCTTATCAGCCCTAGAGGATTAGTGTCTGCAGAAATATCGGCACAACTTCCATCACAAGTGAGGTAGGTAAGATATCCGTTTGTATATCAAAGGATGAATGTACTGAAAGACAATAAGCTTTGTATCATCTTATTGCTGTGAGAAATATTCCATATAAATAGAAGATATGCGTAAGCTGCGTGTTTTAGATAATAAATGTTTTCGCAGCATTGCAAGCATATCGTGTAACAACCAAGTGAGAGATCTTGAGGTTAAGAGTAGCAAACGGTGAAAAAATGGGGAGACGGTTAGTGAGACCATGAACCCAACAACCATCTATCTTGACGTGTAATGGTGACTGGAGTGGGGGGGCTGGAGGGGAACTACGGGCGGCCAAGCCAGGACATGAAATCACTGGGTTTTGATCTGAATCGTGTCGGTTGAAGACTATCTAGTTGTGACCAATCGTTAATGATCTTATGTGACAAGGCTCAGAAGTAGTCACAATATCCAAAATGGATCTATTTTCTACTTTTCCCTGGTTTTAATATATTTTCATACTTTGTAACTCATCATGTTAATTTCATTTCCCGGTGTGATGTGAACAGTTGAACGGACACATACCTGTGCCATGTCCCACGACGATGATTACAAGTGACTACTTAACCCGAATAGAAACATAAAATGTTAGTTAAAAAATGAATGTATAGAAAAAAGAAATGTAAATCATAGCTAAGTCATTTTCCATTCTAATGCTAGATACATACATAAACTGTACAATAAATCTTAAAATCGGTAAAACAGAACAAAATTATAAAAACATACAAACATTTCGACACCGTTTAAGTAGCTCTAAGTGAGTTAAGAAGTTAACGTTGGCGTTGGGAACTAAACGTCGCCAATCATCTGGTGTTAGAACAAACATGCTAGACCCAGGCATGTTGAACAACTTTTCGCCTTTTAGGCCTTCAATCCTAAATTGTTTGCAAGCCCAATTTATCCACATAATAACCTAAATTAAAAAAAAAACTTATTAGACGTTTCTTTGTCAACATATGCATATCAATAAAAGACAAACTCCAGGTGGAGAAAAACTATAATGCATGACTAAACAACTCAATCAGATTAAAAAACAATGATCATTTTTAACTATATGCAATGTAGAACCTGACACATGTGCATCGGTTCAAGTTGCCACGCCACATTAGCACAGTGAGACAAAATTGTTTCAAGACAAATCCCAGAGTAGTAGGAGTAGTAACAATATCGACAATAGTAGAAAATGTTACATGTAGAAAAAGTATAAGATTTCAGGAGTTAGGTCCTACAGGAATACAACTACGAATGAACAGCCTGTGCCATTGCGAAATTTTTCGAGCCAATGTCATACAAAGTCTCCAGCCTCCAATTGTAGTTACCACGAGGACCTCAACCAGGTAGTCTGCATGACAACTACGATCTGCGACTGGATATTTATGGTGATACAGCACGGAATAGTTCATAATGGTTCATATGCATCTGTCTTCCTTTTGATCTTGAATCCTAATATCCCTTGATACACACCCTTCCACTGTCTTTTTGAGCTATATTCTCAATTTTTAGTCTTTCTCCATGTCATTGCTAAAACATTATTTCGGTCTCTTCTGCCATTCATTTAGTCGTACTAATATGATAGTAACTTGTAACAACTCACATTTGCGCCAGGCCCTACGTTGATAATGAATGAATGATTACTTTTGTAGTTTGAAGCCAATTGATACTTCAGATGTGACATGCAACGACTATGTGATGAAGGTCTAATCAATTTTCTGGTCACTCAAAATCGTAAAGAGACCTAAAGAAGTGGTAAGTACACCAACATCTGTCAATAACACCATAATGTATTAGAATAAAAACTCAGCCAGTAGCTCTTTTGGGGCTACTGCCGGTCCCAAGTCCTGGTAAAGGAGGATGGCTGGGCATAGGGTCAACAACCCCATCCCGTAGAAAACTACCTTGCTAAATAACGCTAAACAGAAAGAACCATCTATACCATTTAAACTCTGTCCTCCGAGTTCAAGGATCTTCATTTAGAAGAATTATGACACCTCATGGTCAGAGCTGGGGTTCTTCACAGGTCACGAGGCCGATGCCCTCAAAGCAACAATTAATATAGGTACTTTGAATGTTCAGACAATGTGGGGGACCGGGAGGACCAATCAAATAGCTGAAGAAATGAGGAGACACAACTTGGTGGTGCTCGGAAGCAGTGAAACCCAATAGACCCAAGCTGAACAGAAAAGGAGAAATTAGGGAGAGATGCTGTTATACTTTGGTCACGAAGAGAAAAATGCTCCACATACTCAGGGAGTTGCTCTGATGCTGTCCAAAGAAGCACGTAATTTACTTATCGGGTTGGAATCTCATGGATACAAGTTCATAGTTTCCTGCTGACCACCTCTAACCACCATCTTATCTTAACATAGTGCATGCAATGCCAATTCACCTAGACTGGTGGCCACATCGATAGGATTCGATCTGCACTAAGACGGACCTGACACACATGACATTGACCACCACCCAGTGATCAATCAATTGTGAATCTCATAAATCGGGGATCATCAAAGTATCCGTCAAAACAGAGGGGGTTACGATGAGTGTTGCTATTATTATTATTATTATTATTATTATTATTATTATTATTATTATTATTATTATTATTATTATCCTTACACTTGATAACCTTTTGAGGAATTTATTCAATATCCATCCCTAAATCTACTATATCTGACTTAATTCATATTATTCTACATATTACGTAATTTCCGATTTTTATTCCATTATTTTCTCTCTCACCCCATATTGACCATATTTATTCTGATCATTTATCGCACAATTTCATTTCGCTTATAAACTGATTCAAGTTAACACCTTATATTAAACAGCCCCAACATTAACGATCTGAATTGATTCTATATAACAAACAACAATTCTCAATTCACATATTACAATTTCCAAATGATGTACTCTGCCTTAAATCTGGCTAATTTTATGGATTATTAATTTGGATTTATAATTGTAGAACCTGATGAAAAATTATTGAAAATATTCTTCGTTCATAAAACTTCTTTTAATTAGAGAATACAACCATATGGGAATGATGAACGCTTAATTCAACAAGTAGACCTATCAACCTGTCTTGAAACAAAATAAGATCATAAATATTGCAACAAAATTGAAACGCCAGGTTGTAAGTCAACTTGAAAACTTGAATGTTGAAACCAGACTCGGTAGGTTGAATTGGAACAATTTAAGATAAAAATGCACTTACCTGTGTCGAATTCCACTCAATAGGATCACGTGGAATATCATTCATTTCCATTAAACGTCGATAGTGACCATCAGGAACCCATCTTGATAAGCTTTCCAAGTCGTAAGCTCCAGGAATTCCACCAGGTTCCAACTGGGATCCTAAATAAGGATTTTGCGATGAGTGTATATCAAGAATATTGCATGCTTCTGGAATAACAGATTCATCTGAGACCATACCGTTTTCATTGAGAGAAGGCTGTGATTCCAATAAGCCAGACCCTCCTGATGCAATATCAGCTGCCGCTGCCACAGCTGCGGCAACAGTGAGAGGGGATATACATTCGGGTTTTGGACTTATTGGTCTGTTAGAACTGGAAAGAGCACTATCATTCCTTGATTCCTCGTTTTTTACCGAATTTACACTGGATATCTGAAAAAAGCCGATGAAAAGATGTGGGAAATTTCATAGCTTAATCAGATGAAAACCAACTTCTTGTGATAATTGTGTATGACTACTTTGGATAAGGAACATAGTGAAGAGAAATTTTTTTAGAATTTTCTTAACTGCATATCACGCAAATAGCATACTAGCTGAAATAAGTCACTAATTCTCAAGAATGTCGAAGTGTCGTGGTACGGTCGATGACAGGCAGTCCGCTCTTCCTCTTTCTATCCAACTAATTACGGAAGTCGGGGACTATCCTGTTGTAGTTTAATATTACATTATCCGTAAAACTGAGATGACCTTACTTAACTGAAAGGTTTTTTTTATCGTACCTTTAACCGAACTGTCATTAAATGCTACTTCCATTCATTTCTTTATTAAATGTACTATCTTTTCCTTCATTATTTGTCCAAAACGTTATCGGTTCATTCTCATAGAACACTTTTTGGTGCTCCATTGTACCAGAACTTATGCGCTTAAAATAAATGTCAAAGATTGAAGGTTTTGAGACATCTACCGAAAATGAACTTTTTGATCCAGATTATAGGTAGATTATTTAGTTTATATCTCCACTTGAGGAAATCCAAATGATAGACGATGAATCATGAATAGATACCAATGGCACAGATTATTTATTCATTTATTTATTTTAACACATAGATATTGGTACAAGGAGGCACCAAATACATATGCGCCACACAAATCTCATTCGATATGTGTGAGAGCTGTGATACTATCCGGGTGCCCAGACCGAAGCAGGTGGTTTTCTTAGGGGGCCACTCCCCGAGCCTTCGACCTGAAGGTCTGATCCACAAGGCAGTGGAGCATCGTATGGAGATGCAGTCCCATGGTAGCCGGTGACCAACAATTGGTTCATACTCCATTTGTTCCCTCAGGATACTGGAGCCCATGTGCACCGTTGGTCTGGAATCCGGTTAAAGCGCCGGACATCCGCTTTTCATCCTCTCCTTTTTGTAGACAACACCCCCGAAACGAGAAGGCAGTGAGTAGGACTTCCCTGGCACAGATCAGGATACACAACTCAGAACGAGTAAATATGACAATATGGAGGTATAAATAACAATAAATACTAAGACTAAGATCTCACCTGTTGTCCTGGTCCTTTTGCGATACCAGGACGTTTGCTTTTTTCGGTTGGTATAGTAGAGTTAGGTCCATGATGATCAACCGATTCTGGGATTTGAATATCGACAACATTGAGTCGAAATGGATAGCCTGCATGTGCTGTTTTTACCTCAAGTAATAGCTGAACTAAACCGGATATTTCAACACAATGTTCAACCAGGGGCGATTCCCCACGAAGCTAAAACATAAAATAGCTTGCAAAGGGATTTACCTTGATTCGATCTTGAAGATAAAACTGGCAGCCAGAAAGACAAATCCCTAGTCTCCTTTCAAGCAGTTCAGCGACATCATACAAAGTTTGTTCCACAGACACTACGACTTTAACACGGTTGTCTTGAGCATTGTTGTTTCTTTGATATCTATAGACATCCGACCAAGACCAACATGAATCGCTGGAAGAGTTTGGATCGTTATTCTGAAAATTCCACTCAAGAGATGAATGGACATTTTTTGGTAGTTTACGGTTGGAAATTTTAGCCATGGTTAGTACATCTCAAACATTTCCTGTGAAGCAATAGAAACCAACGTTTTGGTAATGTGAAAATTAATACCGTTTATCGCAAGAAAAAATAAAAATCCAATATATCGTTAAGATAGAAATTACGGTTGTAAATACCGTTAGATAAGTGTAAGGATTGTCAGATATATGAAATAAACCACTTGTTAGTCATCTAAACGCTTTTATGACCACAGAATGCTAGGTATTACTGCAAAGGATACAGATAAATTGAAGCTGAATCCTTAATGCATTAGATGTGAACTTACAAGTGAAGTAATCTCAATGGTTAAAATTGAAATAGTCCAAACATTTTAGCCCTAGCCTCTTCAAGGAAAAAATTTACTTTTCGTATATTTTTTCCCGAACCCTAGTGAATGTTCATAGGTAGTGATTCGTGAGCTTTCATTGTTGCCAAGACTCCAACCCCATAGTGTAGTTCAACATTTGTCCTGTACTAAGATTAGCCTAACACTACAAACTCAAACAGATTGCTACAACGTAAAGCCAACACCGACAGTTTACTACTACTATTAAAGTGTACAGTCAGTCAGTCACATTGTAGAACTTCGTACGTTCGTACATCAGTTCTAGTTGCCACACCACATTAGCACAGAGATGCAGTGGTCGATCCTAATCCCGTAGTGCTAGATGTAGTAAAATTATAAGCAGTTATCAGAAAGATTAGGGTTTGAAGATGTTATTCAAAGAGTATAATCCAGTGAAATAAATTTGGAAAGAGAAAAAAGAAAGGGACATGAAGAATTCAGAAGATTAGAATTCGGGAGAACACAAAGAGTGGATGCACCTGAGCCATTGCAAATGATTTTGAGCCATGTCATTAATGGTCTCTAACCATCGGTTGCTATCGTCTCGCGGTCCCCAACCAGGTAGTCTACACCTACCAATATGACTCAGTCTACTTGTCAGTGACTTCATGGACTTGTGCCATATTTTGGTCTGGCCGCCCCTAGCTTTCTTCCAATCTACTCCTATACAACAAAACATCGCACATCGAGGCAGTCGGTGGTTGGGCATACGTAACACATGTCCCAGCCATCTCAACTGATGAAGTTTCACTACTTCATCAATTGATTTGCCATCCTTACCTAGTACCCGTTTCCTAACAACTGCATTACTTACTCGATGGTCCCAGGATATACGAGCAATATTTCGAAGACACATATAATCGAATACTAGTAACCTACGGATATCCTCCACTCTTACCGGCCACGTTTCACTGCCATAAATTAGGACGGAACGAACTGCTGCGCACTAAACACGTCCTTTGGTTGATAGACGGATATCTCGCCTACGTCATAAATGACGCAAGTTGGCAAAAGCTAGTCAAGCCTTCTGTATCTGTGCTTAGATTTCGTCACACACCAGACCATAAGTGCTGACGAGACTCCAAGATAAGTGAAGCGGTCGACACGCTCAACTACTTCACTCCCTATCATTAGTTCGGGTATCAATGCAACCCAATCCTGAAGCAGCATTTTGCACTTCGAGAGGAAGAATCGCCTCTCAAACATGCATGCATTGTTGCTTAGTGATTAGGAGACTGAATTTTGTCAGTGTCTTCACCAAATAGAGCTATATCATCGCCATATTCTAAGTCAACAAGTGAACCCCCCAGTAAAAGTACAACTGGAAATTTATATGAGGAAAGTGTTATCTCTAAAAGCACGTCCACTTCTTTAACCGGGTTGGTGGACACGGAGAGTCCACCTAGGGAAGTTGGAAAAACCCTGACTCCAAACTAATATTGAACATGGGCTACAGGATTCTGAAGGAACAAATGGCGTATAAACTTATTGTTGGTCACCGGTTACCATTGAACGTTGCTCCACTGCCTTGTGGATTAGACCTCTAGATCAAAGGCCCGAGGAGTGGTCCCCCATAGTGTAGTTCAACATTTGTCCTGTACTAAGATTAGCCTAACACTACAAACTCAAACAGATTGCTACAACGTAAAGTCAACACCGACAGTTTACTACTACTATTAAAGTGTACAGTCAGTCAGTCACATTGTAGAACTTCGTACGTTCGTACATCAGTTCTAGTTGCCACACCACATTAGCACAGAGATGCAGTGGTCGATCCTAATCCCGTAGTGCTAGATGTAGTAAAATTATAAGCAGTCATCAGAAAGATTAGGGTTTGAAGATGTTATTCAAAGAGTATAATCCAGTGAAATAAATTTGGAAAGAGAAAAAAGAAAGGGACATGAAGAATTCCTTGGTACAAGGAGGCACCAAATACATATGCGCCACATTTCATTCGATTTGTGTGAGGGCTAGAATACTGCCCGGGTGCCCAAACAGAAGCAGGTGGTTTTCTCAGGAGGACCTACCCGAACCTTTGACTCGGAGGTGTAATCCTAATAAACCTGTTTAGATTTGAGCGACCATGCAGTATCTCAACCCTCGCACAAATCGAATGAAGTGTGGCACATGTATACTTGATGCCTCCATGTGTTAATATTTGTTTAAACATATGAATAAATCGGTATATTACATGATTCAGTACATAGTAGTGTGCAACTTTCCAAGTTAGACTGTTTAGGAACGACCTAGATATGGGGTTGAATTAAACCAACTTTCTTGAGTAATGAGAAACATTTACTACTCATATCTCGATTTTGAGTCATATTTGGTTTATAATAAAATAATCCCTATAAAAATGTCGCATTCAACTAGTAGTAGGATAGGTTTTACAGTATAAACTAGCCTGATAACCTATGCTAATATTAAGTTGTTCTACATAAACATTTCCTCTATTGGAAAGACGGTATTACAAAACTTTCAAGTGGACATAAGTCAAGAACAAGTTTTCGTTTTGCTGACCTTGCAAAGTAAATGCAGGACATTGCATTAAGATAACTAAGGTCACATCAACAACATGAAGTAAATGTAAGAACTTAAAACAACTGTGGAACAGTAATGGAAAAAGAAATCAACAAACAAATGAGTGACGTGAACAGAGAAACAAGAAGTCATGACAAACAATGGAAGCTATTTTTGGGGACGTTACTTCGCTTAATTCAAAGCTTGTAAAACTAACATTTATTTCTGTACCTAGTTTATTCGACAAACCATAAGCTTTCGTTTGATTCACTGCCATAGCCTTTTCCATTCCAAAGCTACTGTAATTTAAACGCAATCTTTTGTACTCTATTTTCTACCCTAATCTTCAGTTCTGGACATTTTATTTTTCTAATTGTTTGTGTATTGTGATCTTGTTAGTTATCTATTCATTCATGTATCTTTTTACACTAATCTGAATCGGAACCGAATCGGGAATAAATCGAGTGATGTTCTAATTCACTCGTCTTTTTCGCGCGCACAATCAGATGATAGAATCGTTTTCGTCCCCTTACCCAAGGTAGTTAGTCTTGCTTCCAAATCACGCGTTTTTAGCCTCAAGGTTAAACCAACAGACAAGTTGTCTTCTTTATATTAATAGGTAGACAGATCGGGGATGTAACCATGAGCGAGTCACGAATGCTAATTAATTTGCAGGTGGTAGTCGCTTTCCGGTTCTTCACACTATAACGTTTTTCTAAGGTATTTAAGAGAAAAATGGGTTGATCTTAACGGCCTGTGAGCCCCAAGGACAAGTTCATGAGACCGGTCATAAGTTTTTGAGAATTATGTGTTAGCCTCGTACCTTAAAGGTCTTACCGTCAGCGATAAATATACAAAGGGAGGGAAAGGTGTCAGTTTTAGGGCCAACCTTTCACAACCCCTTCTTTTGTTAAAAGGAAGCGTTATTATATGTCCTAATTGTCTGAAAACATCATACTATAGTGTCTCTATACAGTTTACAGCAGCAGTCATTTGATTGCTGCAGTCACAGATACAGGAACTTCTGAATAGTCTCATCTGTTGGCTCGCGAGACTATAATTTATGAACGAGCCAATCAGAAGCGTTCTAGGAATTTCAGCACGATGTGCAGACTACCGTGATGAAATTGTATTTCTTTGTTCTAGATGTTGGAGGAAAATATCTGCTCGAACTGGTACTTTCTTTGCTCGATCACGACTCGGACTAAGACAAATCACGATAATTATTGCAAATTGGATCATAAAGTCTCCAGTAACATTAGCTGCGGCTTTTGCAGATGTTACGGAAGTTTCAGCCGTTCAGTGGTACGAATATTGCCGTGATATATGTGCAATAAACATGACACGACTACATGGATCATTTGGAGGAGTCGGAAGAATAGTGGAAATAGATGAGACAGTAGTTAGAAAGCGAAAATACAACAAAGGACGTCTTATCAAGGAAGATTGGGTAAGTAGCACTCCCGTAAATATACTTGACAGGTACTTGGATTTTATGATCGTTCAACCCAAAAGGGACATTTTCAAAGAGTGAGAAACCGTCAGGCAACGACAATAATACCAGTCATAAAGGAGTACGTCCAGCCTGGCACCACGATCTATACCGATGATTGGAAAGCCTATAGATGCCTCCAGAGACTCGGGTTTGTGCATCATGTTGTAGTGCACAAATGCCATTTTGTCGATCCGACGGGGGTTCATACAAACAATATTGAAGCCATATGGTCTAGGCTGAAGGAATTTTTAAGACCCTACCATGGCTCCAGAGGACGATTATTATGGAGCCATATGGACGACTTCCTATACCGCATGCACTATGATTTCAAAACTTCTGAACCTTTATCTAACCTTAAGTTTATAAATCATGTAAAAGAAGAATATCCACTGTAATTCATGGGTTTTTATAATATATTTTTACTTTATACTTCTGTTTGGCTAATATTTCTCAAGGTCACTTAAAATTCGTATAAAGGTCGTCCATAAAATAGTCTCGCGGGATTGTGATTTACAGTTGGTGGTTAGTGATAGGGATTAGATTCAAGGTTTTCATCATGACCTGAAATCAGTTAAATTGGAAGATGCGTTATTTATGCACATGGATAAAGAATTTCGCGCCGAAATCCAAGACTTGAGGTC